CCACAACTAGACTGAAGAACAAAAGGACAGCAACTTGTCTGTTCCCCTTCCCCCAATTCCCCAGCACTGTTACCATCCCCCCAATTCTCAAATAATTTAAAAAAAAAATCTTTAAAAAAAAAAAAAAGACATCCTTAACCAGGTATAGTAATTAGACATGGATCTTAAAAAAAAAAAATTGCTCTCCTCCTTTTAAACAGGTGATACTTGGCTATATAATAAGCATGAAAACAATTTTGATTAACATAACTACATTAAACGGGAAACAATCTCATCCAAACTGCTGACAGAGGCATCTTCATAAATGACAGGTCTGATCGTGGTTATTAAAATCTGTTAGCTCCCTGATGCTCCTAAAATTAAATCCAAACTCCAGTTCGCATATAAGGCCCATGATAATCAAGACCAAACAGGGTTGCATGGTTAACTTTTGTGGACTCTAGGAATTCTTGTTTTCATTGGCCCCTTCCTCCATTAAAACAAATAATAATTAAAATTATATTTTACAACTATACCGTATAAAGATAATATATTAATATTTGATATTAAAATATGTTCTTCAATCTAAAAGGCTTTTTCATTCTCATTTTAAAATAAATTAAAACATTTTCATGGGCCTCCACAGTTACTGTGGGTCCTAGGCCCTGTGCCTTATGTGCCTAATGGGTAAGTCAGCCCTGGGAACATTTTGCCATTCATGCCATTCACCCATTCCCAGCTCCCGCCACACTAAAACGTCAAGGCCTTTCCTGACCCTTACACGTTATGTTCCCTCTATCCTGAATGCCATTTTTCCTGCTCTTCAGTGAAGTCTGTAGACTTAAATGATGTGCTCTGCATTCCCAAAGCTCTAAACATATCTGTTTCAACATTATATATAACATTATATTTTCTGTTCCCACCAAGCCAGAGGTTGACTTCACTTGTTCCTATAGCAAGATCAAGTTTATTGAGCTCATTTTGTATCGCGCTAATCCCCAACAGTGTTAAGTGAAGACAGTTTTCACATTTACATAGACTGTACTCAATATCATATTCCAATTCAAAGATTATAAAATCTAGGTAACAATCATCTCACCCTTCTACCAGTCTACGATAAATGAAGCAAAACTAGTATGAATATAGATGCAATATTATATTATTTTCCTTCACCTATATAGCCAAATAACTGACAATAAAGTAATCATTTTCTGTTTATATATACTTCATACATCTGATGGCCATCTGTATGTCTTCTTGGGAAAAGTATGTATCTGTTCAGGTCCACTGCCCATTTTTCAATTGAAAAGTTCGGGTTTTTGT